CAATAAAATAGCTTAGAAACTGAAAAGTTCAAGCATATAATTCTTAACTAAATCCCACAGCTTCACTACTAGTAGAGAGACGCTGCCAGGTAGAATTAATTCAAACACGCAATCGCTCTCACTAATGCATTCATATGAATGTAATCTTTACTGTGCTACTTTATCTGTATCTGATTTAGAAGGAGCAGAAATCTGTGAGAAGTATAACGACCCAAAGACAAAAGAACTGATAAAAATGAGCTGTTATAGGACCAATAGCCATGTGGGCAGTGCTGTGTCATATGCCATAGCTGTGCACAAGGTGTTTGAGTCTCAGCTCCAGGTTCAGGCTTATTTGTTCATTAAATGACGTCATAAGCGACTAGTCGATGTCGACTCGACTTTCATCACATAAAAGTCGACTTTAAAAAAAATCAGAAGTCATTCAACCCCTACTGTCTTCTTGTATTAAGGCACGTTAATCACGGTTTTCTATGGGGAAGATAAAATAACACTATGAAAAGCTACATTGTGGACGTACAGAGCTGTAAGAACCACTGCAAGCTGTAAAGTAAACAGGAAGTGTTTGATCGAACTCAACTGGTTTTGCGAGAACGCAAATGTCTTTGCGAGAACCCAAAAGTTTTGCGAGGAAACGCAAATGTCTTTGCTAGAGAATGCAAACATTTGCGAGGGAACGCAAATATCTTTGCGAGAGAAGGCAAAGTTTCTTGAGGGAACGCAAAAGTTATGCGAGAGAATGCAAAAAATATTTTTTCCTCCAACCCAAATGTTTTCCCAAATTATGTTTTTAAATGGCTTGCTAACTGTGTAAAATTCACCTTTATCTTCATTAACAGAAATAAAGCTGAAAAAATACAAATAAAATATGCATTACAAATAGAAATGCTGCCTTAGCCAATAACTGAAATAAAAATTATAAAAAACAAACAAAAAAGAAAAAAAATTATAAAATAAACAAAATTGATCAAACTACACTCTAAAAAATGCTGGGTTGTTTCAACCCAATGTTGGGTCAAATATGGACTAACCCAACTGTTGGGGTAAAAAGGTAATTTAAAAATGTAAACAAAATTTAACCCAGCAGTTGGGGTAGGCGACAAATAAATGCATACTCTGAAAGCGCTCCACAAGACACGTGTGATTATATTACTGGATGCTCGAAATTGAACGCACAATTTAAACAGCTTATTGCACAGGTAAGTTAATCGCTGTTCTAATCTAATGCGCTGCTGCACTGTAATGCACACACATTACAGACAGTAGCTCGTACATCACGCGCAGATCGCACGCACACAGAATCATTCAGCGCGGAAATGTATTGTCAATTGGTCTGTGATTTCTCAATAAAATAGCTTAGAAACTGAAAAGTTCAAGCATATAATTCTTAACTAAATCCCACAGCTTCACTACTAGTAGAGAGACGCTGCCAGGTAGAATTAATTCAAACACGCAATCGCTCTCACTAATGCATTCATATGAATGTAATCTTTACTGTGCTACTTTATCTGTATCTGATTTAGAAGGAGCAGAAATCTGTGAGAAGTATAACGACCCAAAGACAAAAGAACTGATAAAAATGAGCTGTTAATATTAATAACCTTATTAATAATATTACTATTAATAAAGCAGAATAGCCATGAACGCAACACGCTAATGCATGTTAAGCTTTTTCTCCCCCATAGAAAACAGTTACAGAAAACGCTTAAGGTAGGCTAATGGACAAAGACGGTAAAAAAAATAAGACAAAATCTGGTACACAATTTATTAATAATATATATATTATGCACAGGAAAGCAGACGAGCCCAGAATATGAATGGAATCCATAAAGTTTCATGTATTTTCTCCCCTGTAGAAAAACATTATAAACTCTTAACGTGGCTTAATGGATTACCGCATTGTTTTCCTGTACATAGTATAAATAAAATATAAAATTTGGGCTTTTTATATCACTGTCTTCTAGGGGTTGCACCGACTGCTAGTCAACTTCAATGCTCTGCCATGACGCTTTAAGCTTGACATCGACTAGTCGCTGGTCCTATAGAGGGCGCAACAGGATAAATCTTTGAAGGGCTTCCACATTTACGCTTTGTTTCCAAACAGTTAAAATGACAAATAAATGCATACTCTGAAAGCGCTCCACAAGACACGTGTGATTATATTACTGGATGCTCGAAATTGAACGCACAATTTAAACAGCTTATTGCACAGGTAAGTTAATCGCTGTTCTAATCTAATGCGCTGCTGCACTGTAATGCACACACATTACAGACAGTAGCTCGTACATCACGCGCAGATCGCACGCACACAGAATCATTCAGCGCGGAAATGTATTGTCAATTGGTCTGTGATTTCTCAATAAAATAGCTTAGAAACTGAAAAGTTCAAGCATATAATTCTTAACTAAATCCCACAGCTTCACTACTAGTAGAGAGACGCTGCCAGGTAGAATTAATTCAAACACGCAATCGCTCTCACTAATGCATTCATATGAATGTAATCTTTACTGTGCTACTTTATCTGTATCTGATTTAGAAGGAGCAGAAATCTGTGAGAAGTATAACGACCCAAAGACAAAAGAACTGATAAAAATGAGCTGTTATACGACCAATAGCCATGTGGGCAGTGCTGTGTCATATGCCATAGCTGTGCACAAGGTGTTTGAGTCTCAGCTCCAGGTTCAGGCTTATTTGTTCATTAAATGACGTCATAAGTGACTAGTCGATGCCGACTCGACTTTCATCACATAAAAGTCGACTTTAAAAAAAATCAGAAGTCATTCAACCCCTACTGTCTTCTTGTATTAAGGCACGTTAATCACGGTTTTCTATGGGGAAGATAAAATAACACTATGAAAAGCTACATTGTGGACGTACAGAGCTGTAAGAACCACTGCAAGCTGTAAAGTAAACAGGAAGTGTTTGATCGAACTCAACTGGTTTTGCGAGAACGCAAATGTCTTTGCGAGAACCCAAAAGTTTTGCGAGGAAACGCAAATGTCTTTGCTAGAGAATGCAAACATTTGCGAGGGAACGCAAATATCTTTGCGAGAGAAGGCAAAGTTTCTTGAGGGAACGCAAAAGTTATGCGAGAGAATGCAAAAAATATTTTTTCCTCCAACCCAAATGTTTTCCCAAATTATGTTTTTAAATGGCTTGCTAACTGTGTAAAATTCACCTTTATCTTCATTAACAGAAATAAAGCTGAAAAAATACAAATAAAATATGCATTACAAATAGAAATGCTGCCTTAGCCAATAACTGAAATAAAAATGATAAAAAACAAACAAAAAAGAAAAAAAATTATAAAATAAACAAAATTGATCAAACTACACTCTAAAAAATGCTGGGTTGTTTCAACCCAATGTTGGGTCAAATATGGACTAACCCAACTGCTGGGTTAAATTTTGGTTACATTTTTAAATTAACTTTTTAACCCAACAGTTGGGTTAGTCCATATTTGACCCAACATTGGGTTGAAACAACCCAGCATTTTTTAGAGTGTAAAATGAAAATTAAATAAAAAAATATTAAAAATAATAATAAATTATCGCCGCTCAGAATTCAGTCATAGTCTCACAAACTGTGACATTCATATTTATTCTATACATCACTAAAACACCATTTTACTATAATGAAAGCCTGACTGAATAGAATCTAACTTGCTGCAATGGATACAAACAATCCTTTCAAAAGCTTCCTTGCCTCAAACACACAGTGTGGGGTTAACAGAATGACCTTACTATTGTGATACACAGTAGAAAAGAGAACAGCTCAATATGCAACAGTTCAGGACTCACGGATCAGCCATATCTCAAAGAGACAAGCAGAGTCCGGTCCACAAAACAAAGCATCATCTGTTTCTAATAGGGAAAACAACCTCAGCAATGAACTGCCCTGACATGCTGAGAACATTGAGCTCAGTGTGGGGAATGACCCCCCGCGGTGACCGTGACAGGGTCTCAGACAGCAGAGGAAAAAAGGCCGAAAGCGACACGTGTATGTACACATGCACACGCAACCACTGCAGACAAATAGATTTCATGGAGACTGTTATACACAAGCCGCGGCACCTCCTCCTAAACCCAATCAGAGCAATCAGAGGTAACCCAGACGCTCACGCTCATAAACAACATGCATACCAAACAAAACCCCTGTGAGCGGGCCCCGTTTGCTAAATTACAATTAATTGTCTGTGAATTGGTGAATTGTCTTTGGAGTCTGGCTCCAAATGTGACCTCACTAACTGGGCAGAGAGCAGAACAATTACGTTCTGCAGAGCTCACTAGCACTAAACAAAAACAGCGAAAGACCATTTACTAATTAGACTGTTTTTAACGTATTTAAATAGTGTCTAACAGAGAATAAAAGCACAAAGTGCAGCATCAGCGATCTTACAGTAAAGCAACAAGCCATGTGCGTTACAGTGTTTTTAACAGGGACATGGGCTGAGGTTACTGTGGTACAAAATCACTGATGCACATCCTGAAACGTGATAACTAATATGATAACTAATCATTTAATGTGTCACCAAAATACTGCTATAAAAATAATAATCAAAATAATAACAATAACATTTCTAGAAACTATTAAAATGGTTAAACAAATAATAATAATTGCATTTATTTATTTTTTATTTATTTGAACATGATTCAACCAAGAATCATTATAATGACAACAATAATACTTTTTTGTTATTATCAGTATGTTATAATATTTATTTATATATTTAATCATTTTAATGGTTTAGAAATGTGGCACTTATTTTTTATTTAATTAACTCTTATACTTTTCATTTTAATAAACTTTTATTTTACAGCGTTGAAAATGATTCACCCTAAAATCTTTAGAACTAGCCTATAATTATTCAATACACTGTAAGAAGGATGATTCTGCAGAATATTCTGAAGTAGTTCCAAAATGATTCTTCAGAAGAATCCAGTTCACACAATTCACACATCATTAAGCTTTGCACGCTGGTGTGAAAACAGCATCCTTACCTGCATCCTGAGAGTTCAGCACCTCCAGGGCATGCATCATGGCACTGGCAAATACATTGGCATCCTCTTTGCTGCCAAAGTTAAGGCCGTACACCTGCCGTGCATCTCGCCACTGGTGAAACGTTTGTGTGGCCTGGTTGTATTTCAGCCCCTTGGGAATGGCACAATTTATTACCACCTGTTGACAGAAGAGAACAGCATATATTCAAATCAATGCTTGCAAATCATATAATTTGAAATGCAAGCCCTAACTAAACTCAGAACCAGAGTATGTGAGCGGAGTGGAGCGTCAACAATTTCCCCTCCGCGCTCCGAGCATTTAATAATCACTCTGAAACACCGCTCTGCCTTCGCTCCGCGTCTAAAGTATTTCAGTATGTTTAAAGGGGTCATATGATGGGATTTCAAGTTTTCCTTTCTCTTTGGAGTGTTACAAGCTCTTGGTGCATAAAGAAGATCTGTAAAGTTGCAAAGACTAAAGTCTCAAATCCAAAGAGATGTTCTTTATAAAAGTTAAAGAGTCAACCACGCCTACCTAAAACGCCTCGTTCTAACACGCCCCCACATATCTACGTCACTATGTGGAAATATTAGCATAATGCCGCCCAAATGTGCATGCAAAGAAAGGCGGCGTGGTTTCAGGAACAGCAGTAGTGTTGATGCAGCCATGTCAGGGAGACGCTGTGTGTTTCTGTGCGAAAGCAAAAGCACTTTATTTGGCCATCAGGAAGTAGATGGAATTAGGAATCATTGGTTAAGATTTATTTACAACAGAACAGCACAACCCAGATGTTCGAATTTGTGCAACGCATTTTATGGACGACAGTTTTTTTAACCTAGAAGAGTACAAGACTGGCTATGCACAAAGGCTATTTCTAAAAAAAAAAAAAAAAGGGTCAATTCCGACTTTGCTATGACAATCTGGCGCTTCTGAATCAGCGACTGTAAGTATGTTTTGTTAATAGTTAAGTATTTGCTATTGACTGCTCAAATGCGGAGTTTTGTGCAGCGCAGAGTAACGCGGTGTGTGTGTGTGTGAGGGGAACAGGGTCACATCACAGGAGAGTGAACAGCCTGTCAGAAATCATAGCACGTCAGCTGCGATCTTTAAAATAGCATCATATAACCCCTTTAAAATATCACAGTTCTGTTCATAATGTATATTAAAAAATAAAATAAATAAAATAACAAGAGAGTTTCAAAGGGGCTTATTGGAACACTAGTGTGCAAACTTTTTTCCTACCACATGACAAGCTAATAACATGGTTGTCAGCATTAAAAGGTATAAATTGCTGCTTTTTGAGGAGCAAATTTGAGATGAAAATAACAGTAGGCTACGTTTTCATCAGTTATTTTACCTACGGATCGATGCATTTCTTACAGATTTCTGCTCATTCGAAATCGGATACAGATGAAGTAGCACTGTAAGATTACATTTGTTTGAATGCTTTATTGAGAGAGCGGTTGCGCGTGAATAAGTGTTGTAGTACTTGTTTAAATCATGCTTTCAGCTGAAAATATTCAGTATCTAGAAGGAACAAACTAATTCCTTGAGAACTATAACTTCCCGCTCATATCCACTGCCATCATCATAGAATTCACATTCTTTCTGATTTGAGTGATCCTTCTCTATCAAGCTAGCTAAATATGTTTAACATGTGAATTCTTGCTAAATATTAGGGGTGCAACGGTTCAACTTACTCACGGTTCGGTTTGTATCACGGTTTTAGAGTCACGGTTTCGGTATGGTTCGGTATGTGGTATGTTTAGGGAAAAACTATATTGCAAGCTAATAACATGGTTGTCAGCATTAAAAGGTATAAATTGCTGCTTTTTGAGGAGCAAATTTGAGATGAAAATAACAGTAGGCTACGTTTTCATCAGTTATTTTACCTACGGATCGATGCATTTCTTACAGATTTCTGCTCATTCGAAATCGGATACAGATGAAGTAGCACTGTAAGATTACATTTGTTTGAATGCTTTATTGAGAGAGCGGTTGCGCGTGAATAAGTGTTGTAGTACTTGTTTAAATCATGCTTTCAGCTGAAAATGTTCAGTACCTAGAAGGAACAAACTAATTCCTTGAGAACTATAACTTCCCGCTCATATCCACTGCCATCATCATAGAATTCACATTCTTTCTGATTTGAGTGATCCTTCTCTATCAAGCTAGCTAAATATGTTTAACATGTGAATTCTTGCTAAATATTAGGGGTGCAACGGTTCAACTTACTCACGGTTCGGTTTGTATCACGGTTTTAGAGTCACGGTTTCGGTATGTGGTATGTTTAGGGAAAAACTATATTGTCAAATAAAAATAAAGAAAATAAGAACAAATAATCTAACTACAAGCAACAGCACAAATAAATAAACAGTGAAAAAAGATACAAATAAAATAAACAGTGCTTTTCAGTTTTTTAACATAGCTAACATAGTTTTTAGGTACAGAAATTGAATAAATCAAATGTAAAATAACATTGCATATTTGACTATATAAATTAAAGATTAATCTTTATTAAAGTTACAAAAGTTATTCAATCAAGAGCAGTGAAAGATTTCAGTGTTGTTGCTGTTTGATTAACATTAAAAAAGTGCTGTCACTTTAAAGAGGTCATATGATGCGATTTCAATTTTTCCTTTCTCTTTGGAGTGTTACAAGCTCTTGGTGCATAAAGAAGATCTGTAAAGTTGCAAAGACTAAAGTCTCAAATCCAAAGAGATATTCTTTATAAAAGTTAAGAGTCAGCCACGCCCTCCTAAAATGGCTCGTTCTAACACGACCCCACATATCTACATCACTATGTGGGAAGATTTGCATAATGCCGCCCAAATGTTCACGCAAAGAAAGAAGGCGTAACTTTTATTCTCGCTGTAGTATTGTTGTTGCCATGTCGTGAAGGCACTGTGTGATTCGTTGTGAAAGCGAAACTACTTTGTTCGGCCTTCCAAAAGAGGACATCTGCTTCGTCATGCCTGGAGCTGATCCGTGCTGGTTGCTGAGGAAATACAACAACTTTGCGCTGTGGATCGCCAGATCGGCTTTCACCGTGAACAAAGCGGAGTCCAGCCCGGGGTCGTCACATGTGGTTGCCGCAAGCCTGCTGGACGCTCCTTCGTCGAATCCGCCGCCTCTGCTCACTCTAACCCCCGGCTTCTGCTCACTGTAGGCCGCCGCTGCCGTGTGTGACACGCTTGAGGTATTCGGCCAATCATAACGCATTGGATAGCTGGCCAATCACAGCACACCTTGCTTTTCAGACCGATGAGCTTTGTAAAAATTGACACGTTTCAGAAAGGCGGGGCATAGAGAAGAAACAATAATGTACAGTGTGTGGAAAAAAATTTGAACCGCATAAACATTTCATTACACCAAATACACAAAATAATGTTCTTTTTAGCAGCATCATATGACTCCTTTAAGAGAACGCACTAATCCAATGCACTGATACTGTACGTTCAGCCGACTATATCGGCTAGGATACTCAAGGCATTGACAATTTTTGTGTGAATGTCCATTCAAACACAATACTTCACAGAGAGCTTAATATTTGCACACGTTCTGAGACGCGGGTTCACACTCTTCGGATGAGCGACCACACTTCTCACTGCGCGCGAGTTCACGTCTTCTGGCTCTTTAATATTTAAACTGGCAAGGCTTAAATGAGTTTAGTTTAAACACAGATAGCAACGTGTGCTGTTCAGGTCTCACCTGCACTATCAACACGTGATGACAGCATAAATGACAGTTATTCCAGCATAAAGCACTCGCACTGATTAAAGAGTGACTGGTTTGTCCACATATTGTTTTTTTTTCTCTCTCATCGCTCTTGTAATGTATTGGGAAGCCAGAATTTGTATCCATCAACAGAAACATGCATTAGCTGAACTCTAACAAACCATATTACAGATGCATTGTCAGACTTAAGTTGAACCGCGGTCCTAGTGTATGCCGAACCGTGTGCGGAGAACGGTACGGTTCGATTTTTTTACCGAGAACCATTGCACCCATACTAAACATGCCGTTATATTACGGGCTGTTGGCATGAATTGTACTCATGATGGAGCGGTGGTGGAGCACTCTTGGAGCGAGTGAAAACCACGACGCTCCGACTTTTAAAAAAAATCACTCACTCCAGTCATAATCACCCCGCTCACATACTCTACTCAGAACAGCTCAGAAGACTATAAAGCACTACATACTGTATCATCATACAACATAAAAGTGTTGTAGTAGTCCATAAAACTCCACATGGTCTCGGGGGAACAATGTGACATTGTATACAAATTGCTGCAGCTTTCATGTGAAGTGTTAAAACAAATGTTTTTAAGCCTTTTAAAACCTCTTCTGTACTGAAGAAAATAAAACCCATGTTTAGTATGGGCAACATATTCTGTTTTTGCATATGCATAGCCAGTTTTTTTTCTTATGAGATCAAACTGATAAAACTTAAGGTTTCAAAAGTTTCAAGTAAAGATTTCTGACTAAACCACCTCTCTACACAAAGGAGAAACATCTGCATCACTAAAAGATGACAGATAAGACAGATAATGCTGCATTTCAGAGACAAAGACTTGCTCCCTAAAGGATTCACAAGGACGAACTTGAGAAAAAAAATGCTACTTGCAGCACCTCTATTCTTGTATATAACAAAAAAGTAAATGCATTTCTTCAGAACTTGCACAAAGGTTACTGAGGCCATCCCGGCACCAGACAGGTGTTACAGCAATAATACTTCTTTGTTAATATGGTAATCGCATATGGGTGGGAGATACTTAAACATCAAACACTTGACTGGCTCCCTAAACTCTCCCAACAACATGTCCTCAACAGGGTGAATCTTTCTCGAGCTTCTGTGAAATGACTGGGAAAACAGCCAGTTACCAATTTCTCATCCTTTGACATCAACGTAATTACCATGAGAAGTGCAACTAATTAGCAAGCTTTATAAAAGGAACTGTGAACTGTAAGCCATCCTGTCACAAATCACAAGTGAAGAAAACTTCTCAGTTTTCTCAACACATTAATGAAACTGAGCAGCAAGAATTAAGACTGGGGCATGGCCCTATATAAGCAACTTTTCTGGGCAGTTTCCCATTGTTTTAGCCCTGCAAGCCTTTAAGTGATCGTTACTTCTACTAAATACAGTGTGTGTGTGTGTGTGTGTGTGTATATATGCCAATGGATCCTCTGCAATGAATGGGTGCCATCAGAATGAGAGTCCAAACAGCTGATAAAAACATCACAATAATCCACAAGTAATCCATACAACTCAAGTCAATCAAGTAACATCTTGTGAAGTGAAACACTGCATGTTTGTAATGAACAAATCCACAGATGAGACATTTTTAACTAAAAACCATTGCCTCCGGCTGAAATACAAGTCATCTATATCCATAATATTGCAACTCTCATTCTGATGGCACCCATTCACTGCAGAGCAGGGGGTCACAAAACATATATATATATATATCCCCACTCCAACCATTTACACAGAAAATATACAAGCAATCATTACTAGCTCATCTTACTATAGTGTGTTGTTATTGTAAATATGTGTCTAATAAATGACTAGGCCAGTTACTGGCACACATTCAAGTATAGATCTAAAGACATTAGTCAGTTATATATATATATAGATGCCAAGGCTAAACATAAAAGGTTTGTTGACATTTTTGTGCAGCACTTCGGCACTTTACTCTTTTCGGTCACTAAACCGTCATGAATGGCTCATCAACAGATGCCAGTAAGTTCCATGAGGTAATCTGATATTCTCCATCCTCGGATAGCGCCATTCATGAATTATTAACGTAACCAGGACTAAAATGGCCTAAGTACTCTCAGAAGCAGAAATAGGCTTTCCATGAAACACTGAATAACCATAAAAAAGCAATGAGTCATGTACAGTGTCACCACCCCCTCAGCATTTCTGCCATTTGTGTAGCAGGGCACAACAACCACGGTCAGTGCTGAATAAAGGTTACCTTTAAGTGCACATTACCTTGTCCTCACCTAAACAATGGAAGAGAAAAAGGTTTCTTTAACGGTTCATTTCTTCACAGGAAATGAACAGACAAAGAAAGAACCAGGCCAGACACTAATTAAATACATATGCAATATACAGCCTGAAGTGAATTACGTGACGTGAAACGCTCTAAATTTAGCACACAAAAGTGAGTTTCTATGCTTCTGAACAGAAAAGCAAAAACTCTTTCCAAAAAGGTTTCTTAAACATGCCTTGTCTGCCATTGGTTAAATAAACTGATAACTCTGCTTAAAACTCACATCACTGGTTGGAAATTTGTTGCTATGCCAAGCTGTTCAAGATGCAAATTCAGAGCAATGTTTAAGGAATAGTTCACCCAAAAATATAAATTTTCTGAAGATTTACTCACCCTCAAACCATCCAAGATGTAGATGAGTTTGTTTCTTTAAAAATAGATTTGGAGAAATTAAACATTACATCACTTGTTCACCAAAGGGTCATCCGCAGTGAATGGGTACCGTCAGAATGAGAGTCATTGCTTGCAATATTAAAAGCAATATTATGGATAGAGGATTTGTATTTCAGCTAGAAGCAATGGCCTTTAGGTAAAAAACATCTTATTGATGGATTTGTTTAATACAAACATGCAGTTTTTCACTTCAAGATAATAACTATTTAAAATTCTTATAATTCAATGAAAGGTTAGATTTTTGTGAATTTTTTAATAAAAGATCAAAAGGATTAACAACGCAGATTAATTTTCACAGCCTTCTTTGATCATATTTACCAAGGGTGCCGATATTATTGACCATGACTGTACATATAAACAGTTTATTCTGTATGTTATGTTTTTACTGCACCTGATTGGAAATATAAAGCATGAGACTATGAGGTTTTCTTCTCTTTTTCTTTATACCCAACTTGTACTAAATCAACCAAATCATCAGTCAGAAGCTTATGGAAGGGTCAGATTTAGTTGTTCACTCACTGCATATAAAACTTACTTAATTGTACATACTGAAATATAAACAAGCAAATAAAACTGGGTCTGATTTTGATTCAAGGGTCTTTTAAAAATAAAAACTACAATACTGAAGGTTTTTGAGCTTAAAAGAGTCACACATTAATATGCCTCTCATGAAAAAGTTATTCTATTCATTCCACCAGACGGCATTCATAATGTGAACAAAAGAGATAATACATTTAATTACTTTGCTAAATTAATTGTTGGCATACACAGAATCTTAGAGGACAACAAAAATGCATTACAAGCAATATTCAACATTAAAAGGAGGTTCCTGTTTTTAAGTTTAGGAGCAGTTAATGAAGTCTCTCCCACCACATACGGGAGTTCACAAAATACACATAAAACGAGGAAAGGTTAAAAGGTTGCTGAAGCAGCACATCATTCTCATGTGTGCATGCACATTTTGTAAAAACTGTAAAGTAGACATTTCAGCAACCTCATGAGCTTTTAAATACATCAATAAAAAGTCAAAAGTTCAGCCATTATTTTTTTTGTTAGGCCAGAATTTTTTACTACCTGAACACAAACATGGCGGTTTTATTTAAGATGTGTTAATAGCATTCAAATGCAACCAGGGTTACAATTAATCTCCGCAAATGGCACTTTAAGACAAATAGCTTCCTAACCACAAAACGTACTTGAACAGCACATAAATCATGAGATTTTTAAGAAATTTGCAACCCTTTCCACTTAATGCAGTAGCTAGACAGTTCACACTTAATTCAGTATTATTAATATGGCATCAGAAAGATGCAGCAAGCGCATAAGTAGGGAGGAAAAGTGATGTGTATTTGGTTAACACCACAATTTTTCTTCTGAAATAAATGGGATTTTTAATGTTTTGATGACCTGTTTACAGCACTAAATTTCTGTTTGACCCATACATTTTTAGATATTCAGACTCAGGTCACGAAATAGATTGGGTTCTTGATCTATTAATAGCTTAAAAAAAAAAAAGAGGCATTTTCTGCAATTCAAATCACTTGCTAAGGTCAAGGTTACTTGACCTTAGCAAAACAACATTCCCAAATGCTGAATAGGACTGAAGTAGTTCAGTGCAGTGCATACAGCCTTTTTCTTAAAGGAACAGTTCACAAAAAATATGTAAACCTCTTCATTTCCTCACCCTCATTTCTTTCACAAAGTGAGAAAAGGACAATTCAAAAATGACAACAAAAATGCATCATAAAAATCATAAAAAACTGTCCATATGACTTGTGCACTATATTTCAGGTCTCCTGAAGTCATATGATGGCTTTGTCTGAGCAACAGACAGATTAATATAGGGCATGGATCGTATGGACCACTTACATTTTGAACACAAGCCTCATTCACTTTCATCATGAGGAAAAAAAAAAGTTGTCAGTACATTTATCATTTCTCCTTTTGTTTCACAAAAGAAAGAAACTGCTCCAACTCATACTGCTCAAGAACAATTTGATGCAGAGTACATGGTGAATATTTTTTATTTTTGTGTGAACTATTCCTTCAAGCCCCACAATGAACCACTAAAAGGAAACATGAACAGAATTTTCCAAAATGTAGCCAAGCATAACATTCTTGTAATCACAACCAGAACAGGAGCATTTCTCATGAGATGTTATTCTCTTTAAAGCACGCTGTGCTGATCTGTGAGCCACTCAAACCTCCCGTGTTCTGTGTCATGGGTCATCAAAGCACTGCAGTGAAACCAGACCCATCTCTGCAGGAGAGGCCAACAAGGCCAAGCAGACGGCCTCTCAGTTAAACCCACTGCCTTTCTGACACTGACTCGATTCTAAAAGACGTCATGTCTAACAGCACCATTTATCTGTGACAATATTCACAATAAAATTACAGCATCACATACCTTACTGCAGATAAAATGAAAAGGTAAAATGAAGGCCCAATTAATAGGCTTTTTTTCCAAAGCCATCCTATATTAAAATAGTGAAAATCCACATTAAAAAGCAGTAAATATGCCACACTGCGTTCTAAAAGCCTAAAAGCGATTTAAAACGTTGACAAAACAATTGTTTAACAAAATTATTTAGCATAAATTAAATCTATAACAAGTTAATATTTAAAAAGTAATACACTCTAAAAACAAATATTTTGGTTTAAAATTGCAAGTTTGTATCAAACTTTGAGTTATGACAGTTTGTAATGAAATAAAACCATTTTTGATTACTGAATAATTGCACAGTCATTACTCAAATAAATAAATAAAGTTTATGTGAATCTAATTGTGTGGTGGCCCTGGAAAAAATCTAATATTATCTACTTCATTTCAAATAATCAGCTAGCACAGCATATGCAAAAATGTAAACTATTAAACATGTGAATTTAATGAAGTAAGATGTTACTTGTCAACAGCATTAGCACAGTCATTCCTCATATGGTCAATGGAATTTAACAACTACAAGTTACTACAATTTTTTTCTTTTAAATCAATTAATCCAGAAATGTGTTTAAATTACACACAGTATTATGTTAATGTAGTTTGCAACTTTTGCAACTTTCTAAAGCAAATATTTAACTTGGGACCATGCATATAAGTTGTGGTAATAGGTAACCTGAATTAGTTTTTTGGAGTGTAAAGCTAAGGGTAAATATATTGACCTCTTTTCCTGTGACAAGTATGGAAACTTGAGTAGAGAATTTCTTTGTCAATCCATCATGCTAATTAATAGTTTCCAACTCATTGACACCAGAGCTCCCCTTTCTCTTACCTGGTGGTCCTGAATTTTACGGCCCACTACTCTGAAGGCGTTGTTGCCAGTGTGGTGATAGATGTGGACTCGACTAAAGCCTGTAGATCCACCAGCCGGAACCCACTTCTTATTGGCGTCGTCATATACCATGACAGCAGCCCGCGCCTGACAGATACTCTGCTCACTGAAAAGGAAGAAAAGAGAGACATATGAATGATTGGATGGTGGAAAACAAATCTGCCTTGAACAATTTTCAGTGGTTAAAACACTCATTCAATAAAACTCAAAATTCAATAACGTAATAAAAATTTTTTTTTTAATTTTCAAAGTCCTCCCACTGTCTCTGGTTTAAAATGGGCAATAAATATGGGAATCACTGCATTAAATTCAATGAGAAGACATTGTAAGTTAATAATTGCAGTAGACAACTCTTCTTCCAATCACAGAAAGCTTTAAACCTTAGAAAAGTAACCATCCGTCATACGATCCTGCACTGGCACTCAAGTACAGTACACCTTTATAGGTCACGCTTTCATTAAGCAGTCACCCATTAAATGTAAACACTGGAAATCATTTTCCCTGTCTCTCTGCTCACTTTGCTCTATAACACTAAATTATTTACAATGACTTTCAACCTCCCACTGCGTTAATAGAATACGAAGAGAGCCACTGAAAGGTGCTAACATGCACGTCCCTTGTCACGTGATCACATGGAAGCAACACTTAACGCAGGTGGAAAAAGGCAAGAGCGAGAAAACGAGAACGAGTGGAAAAAGTGCTCTGACCTTGTGGAAAAAATACTTCTGGTTGTGCTCCTTTAGAAATCTCCCTCCTTTAGAAACCTTGACAATGTTTTGGCCATATTTCGTTCAATAAATCTGTTCTAGTTGTAATGAATCTGTGCCACTTCTATATTTTGCGAAAAAAAAATCAAGGCAAAGAAATGAATGCTAGAATTTATGTCATAGTTTACGACCAGCTGCGTTTTGTCGGTTGCTTGGCTTCTTTGCACCAAGTAGTTTCTGGTCTTCCTGGTTGAAACTAGAGCCTGGCCGATATATCGTTTTGCCGATATTATCGGCCAATATGAGCCTGTCGCTGATATATCGGCATCGGCAAATATGCCGCCGAAATGAACTTTTTTTTTTACAGAACATATAACGCAGACAAAAATTTTTTTAAATGGTGTAATAACTAGTTTGTCCAGCAGAGTGTGCTCCATTGTTTGCTCCTGGCGACCTGGATGAAACACTTTAAAGCTTAAGTCTATGGAAAACCACTGAAATTTTGAACGGCCATATCTCCGTAACGGCGAGCGAATCCGCACCAAATTCGGGGGATCCCTTCAGCTCGAGGAACCCACTCGAGCGCGAATCGAGTGTACTTCTAGATGCCCGCTTTCGAATGAGACCCCCCCCCACATCGATAGCCCCCGGTGTTACTGAGTTATGGGTGGTTAAATTCGCTGTCCACAAATGGCTGCAATATAACAAAGAGTGAAAAATTTAAGGGGGTCTGAATACTTTCCGTACCCAATGTATATACTGTATTCTATATTTAGTACCAGTCAAATGTTTGGACACACGAATGGGAAAGTTTCCAAACTTTTGACTGGTACTGTACTATAATATACACAAAGAATATCGGCCGATATATCGATATCGGCCTTTTTTTTACTCCCTAATATCGGTATCGGCCCCAAAAAACCCATATCGGTCGGGCTCTAGTTGAAACACTGTAAAACTAGCACCAATGTGCCTACTATTTGATTTACACTAACATAAATTCTCACATATAATTACGTCACTAAATATTCACATACAGAAGACCACTGGAGAGATGGAAAGACTTTGAGATCAGATGCCACATGGCTAACAGCATCAAGTTAATCTGGTAAAATAAATAATCATGACCAAGAACTCCAGAATATACACTGACAGACCGTCCAGTGTTTTGTTTTGCTTTTCCCTGAAATCAATCTGAGGACTGAGATGAGATCCCAGGATCATCCGCCCAGAAGATAAGGGCTAATCTAACAGGATTGTCCGCTGAGACCAATCTCTGCACTTTAATTAAGAAACAGGCACACAGGAGTGGGCCGAGAGGGCTCTCCGGTGCTCTATGTCATATTACAGTGTAATTGATGGCAGACAGTCAGAGAGCTAATGGCTTACACAGGACAACTGGCCAAGGGGAGAGAGCCATGACACATCCAAAAAAAAATAAAAAATAAAACTTTCAACAAATCTATGACTCAAACAGAAAATTTACATCCCCAAACGGTTCTTGCATAGAAACAAAAGGACTCACCAACTCCATTACCATTTAATTTGTATTATTTAATTTAACTATTAGATGTTTTCATTTTAAACAATTATTGCTAAAATAATTCACTCTCTTGGACTAAAGGTATTTGCTGATCTCATGATTTCACCCACAACCTGCTACTTGTAAATTCAAACTGACAGTTCAGCAGGCCTGGAGAACTGAAGATTTCGGTCTCAGTCAGACTACAGACAGTCCACCATTCGTGTTTATATAGTTGTTCTGATTTGGCAATAAAACATAGTAACCTTTAAGAGACCAGCACAAGGGGTTCTGTGATGAAAGGAAAACTTCACTTGATGGAATAAATGCACATACCCAAATTATGACAGCTATGCAATTGCATTTTCTCATCAACTTTAGGATTAATAAGCCATTTAGGGAATTTGTCCAAATAAAAAGCTCAGCTGGGCTGGAATTGGATGCAAATAAAAAAAGCAGTTTAACATAAGCTAAACTACTGATGCGTGTGTAATTATCGATTACGTCAAGTACAAAATATTTCATCTTTTTCAAACCTTACATTTGTCTACAAAGCTGACGTGAACAATGGTAATAATTATATTAATATTAATTGGCAACCAATTGTCTGAATCTCTGCTGCACATCATGAAGAAGCACATCATGTGTTTGACATTTGGATCAAAGATGAACTGCAAAACTGTTTGGTTAATGCTTAAAAGGAATTAATTTGACTGTAAACAAGCATTATGACAAAGTGTGACAAAAACCCTCTGATATAGAAACAAATCCAAAGCACACCAGCAATGCAATCAGGAAACATTTTCATTCCCTCATCGCTTTAACATCTCAATAGCTAAAAAAAATCAGACATCAGAGAGCTTCGTGCTGAGGCTGCAGTGACGCGAGAGCAAGAGCTGCCTGAAAAATGCTCTGGGGAAGAGTATGGTAAACCAAGATCTGATTATGCAACCCAGCGCCCACAACATCAGGAGAAATAATCATCAACCTTCTACCCAGCTCAAAGTAACGTCCTCAATGACAGCTCCATTGTCTCTGGCCATGTAACGCACTCATTCACAAATAAACTACACAAGTTAAGATGAAGGAATGCTTGTTGCAGCATGTGGGATAATGGCATTGCATCAACAAACAAGGACGCAGATTCTGCATGCTGACAGTGATGCTGCCAAAATAAATTATGCAGCATTGTGAATATCATCATTTTAATGCGTTTTTTATTCAGCCGTTAATTCACCAGACTAGTTTTATAAACCTACTTTGTCTCAATTCAAACCATCTAATTAAACCAACAGCTACTCAACAAAATGCTTGCATTGGCACCCTTTTTATGTATTAAAATCTTTCAGTATAAATTAATCTAGTTAAATACTGTTGTTTAATCTATATTGTTGCTGCATACTAATTAAAGACAGTATATATACATAGTGTATTAATTTAATTTTACAAATTGTGGAAAACAAGACTTTATGCAGCTATAATCGGCATTTGGTTCAAATTTTGTAAAAACTGATTTTAAAATACATTCATCCATTTAGGCAACTTCAAATTATGCAATAACATCCGATATAATTCACAAGTAGCAGTAGGCTATTTGTGAATTATACAAGGATCTTGACATTTTTGTTGGTGCATGATGAACTAGCCCTGAAGGTTTGATATGAATCATGCATGTCACGAAGGCCAACTCCGATGCTCACACTTTAACACTTAGTTTGTTTATACAGCTCAAATTGTCTAACACTATAACTCCACAAGCTGCCATTTCTAAGCCACATCACAAATCCACTGAGACTCTAGCAAACACAAGAAATCAAACCTCCTTACAAGTCAAGTGGACTCATTGGCCTCAGGTCCAGAGATCAACAGCTGCTCAGAAGCCAAGGGATTTGAGTTGTTGTGGAGATATTTGCACAAAAGTATATATATATATATATAAAAAAGAATGAAATACAGACAAACAGTGAGACAAAGTCTCTGTCATAGTTACCACTTTAATATCACAATATAACCAACAGCGAAAACCACAATGTGTTTCACACAATGAAGGAAAACTGCTCCTCAAGAAAACTGACATGTTCACAACTCTCTGAGGTCCAAGTACAAGTCAAGTCTCAAGTCTTTGAGGTCGAGTCTAATTCAGTCTTTGTTCTATTTATTAGCAACAGTTCTTTCAGCTAGTTATTGAGGCTAAATCTATTTTGAAATACTGATTTCACGATATGATTTTCTAAAAAAAATAACTATCAAAATGTAAGACAAATTAGAAATGAAAAGGTGTCCATTTATTAATTGTCATACAAAATGCTGCACATTCCTTTATAAAATTGAATTGTCAAACAACTACTAAATTGAAATTTTAAAACAAACCCCAATCAATCAAATGAATAACACAAATGAAAGAAATCTCATAAAAACAAACTAAGGCTTTGTATGTGCTCTTTTTCAATTTAAAATTAAAAGCCAACCACTGTATTTTAAACACAACACAATCTAAACAAAGCGGCTGCATACGTAAATGAAAAGGTGTCCATTTATTAATTGTCATACAAAATGCTGCACATTTCTTTATAAAATTGAAATGTCAAACAACTACTAAATTGAAATTGTAAAACAAACCCCAATCAATCAAATGAATAACACAAATGAAAGAAATCTCATAAAAACAAACTAAGGCTTTGTATGTGCTCTTTTTCAATTTAAAATTAAAAGCCAACCACTGTATTTTAAACACAACACAATCTAAACAAAGCGGCTGCATACGTGCAGCATGAGCAGTTTTTAATCTAAATTGGATTGTATAATTTCGAAAATAGAAGCAAAAACAAAATGGTCTGACTTAAAGGCACAATATGTAATATGTAAAACAAAGGCATA